GAAACCCCCCAAAACTCCCTGCCTTGGCAATACTTCCTGCTTGGTAGTTAGATCTTAGTTAAGATAAAGTGACATTGGGGGAAGAGCTTGCATACTTTCTATTCCAATTGAACACCCTTATGGTGTCAATTTATCAATATCAGTAACTGGCCCTAAGGCCCAGTTGGTCTCTAATTTGTTTAACGCCAAGACCCAATTATCATAAACCCATATAGGCAAGTTATTTGGGAGTGGGGGGAGAACAATATCTGGTAGTCTAGCCAGCGGAAGCCCAAATATCAAGGTCAGAATTGCTGGTCCTCTACAGTGACTAATACCAGCCAAGATGCTATAAGCATCTAGTGTATGCACAAGGTTGAGGACCATGGCAATGTATATAGTGATGGCCATTGTATCGAACACAAATGATTTTGGGAATGCCCCAATTTCTGGCCCAATTAATCCACTATCCATTGTATCTGTCCTTGTAGTTAGTCGACTGAAGGTTTGCTGAGTTTGTTCGACAGATGGCCTATGCTTCCTGTTTTACACACAATTCATTAGTCTCTCACAAGGTATAATTTATATCAGATTTCAGAAAGTGGGTATCTTATGTGCCCAACTCAGACCATAAGGACTTGACAACCTTTGACATGACATGCAGGTTCATGACAGCCAGGGAGATAGGGAGATGGGTAGGGGTATTGTCTGCTTAGAAAATAGTGTAAGTCACAATCCATATAAAACCAGAGTGTAATAGGCAATTGCTCAAAATCAACCTACAAGGACTGTGGAAAAAGGGGAAAGGATTGCAATGGAAACAGAAAGGATGGTATGGGATTCAGAATAAACATAGGAGTAGAGGGGGAGGTAATGGTACCGGTACCTATTATTCCAATATGTGGCTCTCAGAATTTTTTGTGACTGTGCCACATACACAGCACCCAGAACTGCATTCCTGTGGGAACTGCCTAGTGGTCTAACTAGACTCACCCACTGGTTCTTATCTGTTATTGGTTAGCGCTCCTGGTAAGTGGGTTGCATGCCAAGGGAGACTGCAATTATACTCAAGTAGTTGGGCCTTCAGGAGGGTCAGCACTTAGGATTCACACATTAGCTGGATTTCCTAGGCTTAAAATCTTTCCTCATCCAGTAGGGTTGAGCTACCGTTAACTTAAGATAACAGAAATAAGAGAATCGTAAATTTACCTTGGTGTGAGAGCTCCTATCAGGGAGGACGGGTCGAGGAAGCAAGGGAAAAGAGCGGATGGAAAGTTTTCGTTGGTGAGCGCAATCGCGACCTTATCCAGCGGAGCGGTCCTTTTAATTTTGTTATTATGATCCAAAGATGAGGGTTTGCTGTCTAATATCGCCAAGCCTCGCTGAGGGTGTCGCCTCACTGAGGGCTCACACGGTCTGTACAGTACCAATCAGCCCACAAGCCATCACAGCTAATCACCCAAAAGTGCGCCTCACACTCACTCTATTGCCTGACAATCTACCGATCGAGCCCGTCATTTGGTGGCAGAAACAAGATACCTCTCTTCTTCTCCCCACCCCCCTGTCCACCATCCTGCCGTCTTCTGTGCAGCCAGCCCCCAAGGTGAACTCTCCCCGCCCACAACTGTGTGCCTGAAGCCGCGCATATCCGCTCGCACACTCAACCCATCCAGGAAGCCCTTCATCCTACTCAACATGAATAGCGGTAGCAAGATTCCAGTGATGGGTACCACATCGATGGAGAGGTAGAATAGTAAGTCTTGCTGTGCCGAAAGTCGGATCTTTTAGGGGGCGGAATTCTGGAATAATTAAATTTAGCTACTTCTGGGATGGAATGGGGAGTGAACTGCATTCATAATACCCGTTAATACCAGGTTTAGATGTAGATCTTGCAGTTTTCCTGTTGTTTGGGGAGGGGTCTTTTGTAGGAACATGTGTTGCAATTTGTCTTCCGAGGAGGCATGGTTCTGTCAGGCTGAATTCAACACTGCATTTGAAGGCCCTTGCTAGGGCGAACTGACAGCGACGGGTGTGGCTGACTAGCTTTTCCAGGCGGTATACAGCCCTGTTCGTAACCCTGTGCTGGAGTGCCACCTACGAGTACCGTAGATCGTCTGTGAGGGGGTCTGTGGCCATTGGGGTGTTTTAGTGGAGGTGGGGACTCAGGCGATGGATGGGCAGAACTTCCCGGCGGCTTTTCGCCCCCGCGATGACTCCCTTGTTGAGCGCGTAGGAATGATCTACCGGTAGTCTGGGTTCGCTCGGTAGAGCTCTAGGGGCGAGGGCTGAAAGGCCGAAGTACCGGTGCGCTGCGAGGAAGGTTTTAGGGGTTTTCTGGTCATGTTTTCTGGGTTTTTGTCATACCCATAGAATTTTCTGTCTGGGATGAGGCTTAGCAGGTGGATGTTTTTTACCCGGAGGCATGGCCTTGCCGTCCTCAGAGAGAGAGGAGGAACGACACAGCGAAGACCCATCCTGTACCAGCCTGGAACAAAAAGTGATCGGAAAAAAAGTGGTTGGCACAACACCACTTTTTTCCGATCACTTACCCTTACACCCTGGTACAACCAACTCCACCGCCTTCTTTAATGTTGTTTCTGGGTGTTGTTTTCCTCACTCTTTTCTCTTACTTTCTCACTGTGTTTTACTGTCAACTTTATCAGCATAATTCTACGCTCTTATCCGATTGAATATTACATCGTACGGTTATCACAATTGCACAGGTGTCAGCTCGGTCAATCACACCATCCAAATTACAGAAGCCAACCGAGACACTTCCACACCGGTGGTGGTTTGATTCTTCCGTCCATTTCACAGCTTTCTGCATGTTAATGGAGATCTGCTGCTTCCTTCCCGATTCTGAATCCACTACTACTGAAGCTAGCCCCTTCAATGGGTAGAAGCTCTTCTTTGCAACATTGCGCCCGACCCTTCCACCCTCCGATACTGGAATACTGTACCGGTATGCGATGCACATCTCGTCGAATGGACCACAGGTCTGAGGGTCTGCACTAGAAAGCCTCCCATTCCCTGTGCTCAGAACTGCATCCGAAAATACCACGCCTGGTTTGGCATGGTCATCTGGATACACCACCCCCCCACGCTTCTAAACACATCGACGATTGAAACAACGGTAGGATAGGATTCCAATCAGCCAGGCACGACCTTGGTGTAAGTGGGGAGGTTAGCTCATTCTCTCTTCGCAGAAATAACTAACGGGAACTACTCGCGCGTCTTTGCCAAGAATACCGCCGTAAGCCGATATCTAGGGGAAGAACTTGAAGTGGTGATAGGACAGGAAATGAAGAAACCAGAGTTGTTGCACTACACAAATGACAACATACACACTATCTGATATCGAATGGTCAATCTTACGATAATGAAAAACAATAACCTGAACAACAATAGAAAAGAGGAGAAAGTAAGAAAACACAGTACAGTCGCACCTCGCATAACTAATCTATGAGAATGCACAGCTTTCCCCTGTAAAAAAATCGCCATTGCAGTGCAGACCAATCGCTTGCGAGTTCGAATGCCTCTCCGAAGTTGCTCGACGGATTTCATCCGGGACAGCGGGCACCCGAGATAACCGGGAGAGAGTGCACCCGTATCAGTCCATCTGAAGTAAGATGATTGCTGTGGTGCGAGTATTTTCCCTCCATCCTCTCACATGATTGGCAAAGCCACAGTAGAAACCGCAAGCGGCCGGCTGTCCATCAGGATGTCAGGGACAACCGTCGAGGAGGGCAAAGTCTTCCAACCTCACCTGAAGGTAGTCTACTGTATCATACAATTACTGTGCGTGCGGGTAGTAAAGCTCGCATTCCTGCAGACTTGCTAATCTAGCTTTCTTTGTTGGTTTCACGGTTGATGTTGTGGAGATGGGATGACCCTGAACAACTACGAGAAGCTCTATCTACAGCCCTCCGCTACAAGTGAATTATCCACACAGTCTGAATCTATTCACTCTGTCCATCGTCCTTCCCAATCCTTCGGCGTTCCCTCACTAGCTTTTCCCCTTCTCTATTTCTAGCTCACCTCCCCCCTTCCTGGCATATAGTAGTATTTCTAGCGGCTACCGATATCACAGCATCCGGTTCGGCGGGACGGACTTTCGGGGGACCGGGGGGAAAGATTTCCAAGAATATGGCACACATTTCAAAACTCCCTTCCCCAGTCCCACGAGTGAAATTCTGTAGACTCGGAAGTGTCAGAGCTATGCACCCGAGAAAGAAGAACCCAAGTCGCTATAACGAAAAAATGCTTCTCCTACTAGGGAAAATCCGCCAAAGTGTGATACATTAAGCGGAGCACTCCTTACGTGCAAGTATCACGCTCTGAGAGACCCCCGATCCCACACACCCCGGTAAAGCTTTGCACCCAGCTGGCCGTACTCGTACTCGTATAATACTTGTACAGTACCATCCTCTTGGACCGAACGAAGTTACCCTAGAGTAGTCCTGCAACGGAAACTATTCGAGAGCCCAGATATTAATACCGGTATACGTTTCTCAAAGTAGCCCCCTTAGATGGATAACATGGTTAAAACACCCGAAATACATCCGTCCCTTCCCCCAAAAAAAGGCTCATCCTTGGGTGCCTACCGTATTCATAACTCGCTATTAGGCCTTCACTGCCATGAAGGGATATAAGCACTTAGTCTAAGCCCTTGCTATGTCGGTGAGGGGCGACTCAGATATCATAGTACCGGTAGCAGATTGCCAACGAAAAGGCCAGTCGTCCATGTCTGCCGTAGCAGATTGCGGCTCCCGGTTCAGGGAGTCTACAACAAGTTAACTCCAGAACATACTCGTACATTCTCACCCACTCTCATGCTCTCAACGCACGAGCGCGGTAACTGTACTGTAAGATGATGCAACGGGAGGTTTGCCTTCAATGAACATCTCGTGCCGGGGTCACGAAAAACTCCCGGCACTCTTCAGAATATACCGGTATCATATTATAATTCTTGAGCTCCGCCAATTGAAAAAAAAAAACTGCGGACCGATCCGGGCCAAATTCTCTACAGACTTTATTAATCTTTATTCTACCAACTTGAGATTAAATCTATCGTACAAGCACTGTAGCTGATTTATCCTATCAAAATCTCAACCATTCAATGCCGAAAAAAGATTACCGTAAACTACCTCCCATAGAGGGGGGGCCTATCCGGTGCTAAATACGACCCATCCCGGAACCCCTCCCCCCGGCCATGCAAAATGGGAAACAAAAGAACTCCACCCGAAACAAAAGAGGGAAAAGGTGATTAGGCCAAGCGCCGGTAAGGTAAAGGAAAGAAAAAATATATATACAGGTACAGTACAAGGTATCATGTCACCGCGACAACTACAAACGCATTAAGGCTTTGTCAACTGCTCCTTCCTGAAAAACTTAAAATACCCCACACAAATAAAAATCTGAAATCCCAGCCCAATGTAAAAGTAAATCTTCCTGAAAACTTCCGCATCCTCACCGAATCTCCAAGAGCTAAAGTCAGGGAACACATCCCCGGGGCCGATATTGTTCGGAGCGGTAGCCCTGGCCGCGATGGTGGCCAACGACCCAAAAACCTGGGCACCGAGGAGCGTGAAGGCAACGTGCATACGCGTGAGCGTTTGTAGGAGTATCATCCCGAGGCCGACTCCCTGGATTGAGTCGAGCACCCCAAGCCAGAGCCAGAGCGAGCGTCCGATCAGGGCGCTAGCCTCGGGACCGCCCGCCCATGGGAGGTACAGACCTATATTCGAGATACCCCAGAACATCTGACACCAACGCGGGGCTCCAAGGCCGATGGCGAAGACGGGGAGAATCCAGGAGTGCTCCTTCGAGAGGATGGCGAAAAGTTTGAGTATGCCGGACCAGACGATGACGAAGAAGAGGACCACCAATAGCGCGATCTTCCATTGGGCGACGTGCACGCTACTCCAGAGGTACGTCCAATTCCGACCGTAGGGTGCGGACAGCCAATAATTCTGTATGACCACCGTGACGAAGAACCATTTGACGATGTTGCGGCGGAGGATGGCGCTGTAGAAGGCGGGCACTTTACCGGGGAGCTGGCGGTAGTAGTCTGGGAGCCCGAATGCGAGGATGATACAGATCGCCCAGAAAGCGACAGCGACTGGGATGATTATGGCGGCAACAACTGGACTCGGAGCGCTATCCTGGAGCGCACCGTCCACAGCCCGGGCGGTGAGTTTGGACCCCCAGTACCACAACGCAACGACGTAGAACTGCTGCGTGCCCTGGATAATACACGCGCGGTACACCCAATCTTTAACAGGACTACCGCCTTCGTCTCCGAAATTGAGGGCAAAGTATAGCGATCCACTGGCCGAAGCCGCGGCGTATAATCCCGTACCGACGTTGCCGAGCCAGTACCTGCGCTCGAACAGCGGCGGCAGGACGGACAGTCCAACGAGGAAGAATGCGAGCCCGTATAGTAGGAAAGGAAGAGAGAGGCACCAGACGGACTTTAGATAGCGGAAGACGAACCACCAGGCTACTGAAGCGCCTATGTAGATTGAGCAAATCACGTAGAGACGGTCGGCCGTGAGGGAGACTTGGTCCGTCAGGAGGGTGATTTGGTAGGAGTTTGCTGCGATGATTTGGCCCTGGGGACCATTAGCATGATGTCATTGCAAGTAGGGGGAACGGTGGAACAAACAATCGCCAAGAAAAAGCTATACAACGGCCAGTCCCCAATCTTCCTCATCATGAATCTCTTCAAACCCGTAGGCGGCTTGAACCCCTGTCCTTCCACCAACATATCCCAGGGAGAAGGGCTAGTGCTCCTGGGCCCCTCCAGCTCGGTAGTAACATCCGAGCGGGAACTATTTGCAGAGTACATCCCCAGCTTTCGTAACCTTACTTCATTGAACCACTTCTTCTCGCACTTCATCAGGTACTCTTCGATGCAGAGGTCAGTCTTTCCAGACTTGCCGTCCATGCGGGCGAGTTCCTGTTCAAAGGCTTTCGAGGCACTCCCGTCAGCATCGGTGAAGTTTGCATTTACCTTTTGAAGGCAGTAGTCTGTTCGCTCCCCGACAACACTAGCAAGACTTAGCCTTGAAGAGTTCGGGGAATCGGCGCTCACGAAGGGAGCTATGGGTGGGGGTACTAGCAATCCGTCGGCCGGGGTAATATCCATGTCGGATTCGGAAGACGATCCGGGAGCCCTCAGGCCATCTGGGGTTTCTCCGATCGGGGGTGCGAGCTGTCCATCCAGGATAGGGGCCGGCTTGGGGAGATGTACTTCTGAAGGAGCGCCTAAACTACGAGTATACCGCTTCGCACCGGCTTGGAGTCTCTCGAGCTGCTTCACCCACACCATTACCGGAAAGCGCTGCTTGGCAGAGGTAGCCCGCATACGTGCGCGAACTTCGGGCGGCGATGCAAGTGCTTCACGAATTGCAGCTTCAAACTGGGCTAGGAGATGGGCGGGTGTAGTTGATTCGATGGTGAACCACCATCCCGGCATGTTCCCAAGACCACCAACGCGGGCGCCAATCCCTAGAGCACCCTTGCGGCCGAATTCGACGGCGACCAGACCAAAGGGCTCATCGCGGGAGGGGATTAACGCGAATTCGGCACCACTTTAGCTCGTTAGTATCTCTGATTGGAAAGCATCAAGAATATGGGGGAATATAGTACCTAAAAATGAACGGCGGTAGAGAAGTAAACTCAGGCTTTGAGTAGATCCTTCCAGGGTAAACCTCCATAAGCCTCTGCAATTTCATGGAAGCAAACTTTCCATAGAGATCAATGACCGGGCCAACGCACAGCAACTGCAGGTTCTTATTCTCTTTGAGCAGCTGCGGCGCTACATCAGCGATCAGGTCAATCCCCTTCTGCATCGACCACCTCCCCACGAATACCAGTAGCTCGGCATCCGGGTTCTGTTCCAGACCAGCCCACTCCTGAGCCTGCCGTTTCAGTTCCGCCCTCCCAGCTTCAAACTCCGCATCCACAACCGTCTCCGTACTATCCCGCCGACTGGGGTCGTAATCCCCCGTATCCGTCGGATCCGGGTTCGGTAATTCTCCAACCCCAGAAAGTCCCCAGAAAATAGGGTACCGGGCCCAACTACGCTTACCGTACTTTGCCGAAACACCTACGGCCCCATAGCCACGCTGGTGGACACGCAAATATGAAGCGCCAGCGTGGAGCAGGTTGAAGACGTCACCGAACTGTACATACTTCTCGCAGAGCTCCTGAGAGATGTTGAAAACTGAGCACACTTCCTTCTTCTCTTTTGGTGTGCGGAGCGGCCAGAGGCCCTGGAACTCTGCGTTGTGGAGGGAGAGCACCGCCGGAATTGTCTCTGGGAGCAAGTGTACGGGTGCTAGAGCGCCGTGGTAGTCGTTGATGTGGTATAGGTCTATTGGGAAGCGCTTTATTATTGCCGCGATGCACTGGTTCCAGGCGGAGTAGAAGATTGCGCTTTCGAGGTCATCCATGCGTGGGGGGTATGGTTCTGCCTTTGTCTGCTTTCTGAAGACCGGCGCGTCGAGGAGCACGTATGTGATGTTGTTTAGAATATGGTATTGCACCGCGATGACATAGACTTGGTCGAGTATCGTGACTTCAATGCTTTCTGCGGGAGTGTCGACAGGGTAGTCCACCCCTCCCACGCACGGGACGACCCAGATGAGGTCCTGATGGCCAAGGTTCTTCCCCATCAATTGCGCCATCACCCCGAGGCCCCCGATTTTAATCTTGATTCTCCAGTCTTCGATGTCGTATTCCAGCGTCGCGATGAGTACCGACGGCCGCTTTGGCGGTGTCTGACCTGCGGTGGTCAACCCCGACGTGCCTCCGCCCGTCTCTGCTGCCCTCTTCTCGTCGGTTATGGCGGTGCTGGAGTTATTCAGGCGTTTATAAAACATTGATTTCGCCAGCGCGATTGGGAGGATGCTGCGTTTTATGGCTATTCCCTTCGTGTTTGTCTTGACCTGGTAGAAGCCCGCCATGAACGTCCATACCGCAACGAAGCCTGTGAGCACCGGGATCGCGAACAGCAAGGCGAAGATTGCGATCTGGATCGCGCTTGAACCCGCCGGGATCATGCGGTAGTTGTATGTTCCGTCGTCAAGGATGATGCGGTATGATAGGTACCCTTTCGGCGGCGCAGCTGTAACATTCACTACGCTCTCGGCGAGGGCGGAGGGTGGCATGCGGTCCAGTACTCCGTCTCTATTAACATCTCCATAGACGAAAGTAGAATCCGGCTTCCCGTTGCGGTTGATTCCCCAAACGTTGAAATGGAACTTGGTCGGCCACTCAGCCATGAAGTCGAACTTCCACTTCCCATCTTTGAGCAACTTCATTTCGTTCTTAGTCCCAGCGTCGTATCCATAGAGGTTAAACGGGCCGTGGAGGAACAAGTGCGGGAACCGCCTAGACACCAGAGAATCAGACGGAAGTCCAAAGTCTGCATGCTGGATATGATCCGATGAGCCAGCAGGCTCGCTCCAGTACTGCATGATGATGTGCTCCCCCTTCCATGCCTGTTTCTTCGTACCAGACCAGGATTGCCGATCAATCGTGACGTTCCCACCACGGTAGGCTTGCCAAGCGCTCCAGCTGGAGCCCCAATTTGTCGAGTAGCGGAACAAATCTGCCCCCGCTGCTTTCTGCGAAACGTAGAAGCGCTCGTTCTCCTTGTGCAACAGGCCCAGGGTGTAGTTCGCCGTTCGAGGGAAGACGATTGGGTTATCGCGCTGCCCGATGCGGAAAAGGAAGTTATCTGTGGCTGAGGTATAGAACTGTCCATCATCGGCACTAGCGTTGCGCACGGTGACCGTGTGGACCCCATCATAGACGTTTTTCAGCGTCGCTTTGAATTCGAAGGAGGCCGGCGGCGCGCCAACGACTTTGCCCTTCGTAATGTTTTGCACCCTCTCGCAGCGGATGTCTTCGAAGCGGGCTTTTTCTTCGGGTCGTTCGGTTCTGGAAGAGATGGTTATTACCTGTTTTAGGCTGTCGCAGTCCATCTCGTGGGTAAATGTTAAGCCGATATCTACGTCTTGGGGTTTGCCAGCCGCGACTTTGGAAAGCATGCGGGCGTCGTGGCCTGGTGAGAATTTCGTGATTGAGGGACGATTTCCCACGAATTTCTCTTTAGGCACGAGGGCTTTGAAACCCCACGCTGGCATTTCCATACTGTCCAGACAGCCACGTAGTTCCTTCACTGAGTCCACGAAGAACTCCTGCTTAGACGCCTTAAGCGTGTACTCCTCGTATGGAAAGAACAAATTTTGCACGACAGTGCCCTGCTTGAACGGTGCAAGGAGGTTCTTTTTCGCATCATCGCAGTCGAACTCGAACTTTGTCGTCTCGTTAGTGTTCGAGAAGACCAACCAGACGCTCTGGTTTCCGCCTCCACCGAGTTCACCTAAATTTTGGGCCCCGTCGAAATTACCGCGGACAACGGACCAGATACCCGTTTCCGTCGGCGTGTCGCCAGAACCGGGGAGGAAAACCTCGCGGGTAAGATTTGAAAGCTGTTCGAGTTGGAAGCCGTCGTTTAAGGTCGGGAATGAAAGGCGCATGTGATACATCGCTTTGAGAACGTTGCGAATGACATTACTTGGATCGCGATGATCAAGACTATTCCAGTCATCCTCGCAGCCTCGAAGAGCCTTATCGAGTGGGAAGTTGAAGTACTGCGAGGAGCCAAGCTTGTAGCACCCGTGGGTTTGCCACGCGAGGGCGGAAGACATCGCCTGACGGCCGAAAATGTAGTTGTTAGCGGTGTTGTCCAATACGTACATCGCTTGTTCCTCACCCCAGAGAAGCTACATAGATAATCATTAGCCTCGCTTATCGTATCGCTTAATTCAGACACAGAATAGCAGCCGCTCCCGCGGCAAACATACCTTGGGAATACCCGGCATGAGCAGGGTCGTAATGAATAGACCAAGTAACATCCTGTGCTCACCATCTTTAATCGCGGGCCAGCGGAACACATCCTGATTCGTGACACCATACATATGTCTCGGATCAAGCCGCCCTGTATTCGCGTTGACCAGGTCGTTGCTAACAGCCATAGTATTCCACATATTCACCCAATCTTCTGGTGTGTCAAACCCAGCTGCCAAATTACCGTCCATTCCTAGGAACCTTGTCAAAGATCTGTAAACCGAATAATGGAACGCGCCGGCATCGAGCGCATTCTTCCCCTTCTCGCGGATGAAATACTTATTATCCGAGTCGGTTGTGAGCGAGAAGGCCTCCTTGACGTCCGCCGGTCGCATATCCGGCTGTCGGCCCCTGCCAAGGTAAACGGACCCAAAGGTATCACCACCCGTAATCTCTCCCGGGATGAAGAAGTTCTCTTTACCGAACTTGCGCGCGCACTGCCGGACCGCGTCGGACCAGTCACCGAGCATATCCACGGTGATCTGTGTAGCCTTGTCAATGCGGAAGCCATCGATGTCGAGCATTGCGATGGTGATGCAGGCAAAATGCTCGATGCGGCGGGCCACGCTGGGTTTCCATTCTCGCAAACGATCCTGCACGGAGGCGAATTTTGAGAGTTGTCTTTGCCAATCTGGGAAGATACCGAAGGCTTCGGTGTCGCCGTAGTGGTCGAAGTCACTGTGCACCGGAGTCAGTATCCTTTCGTTGGATGGGAGGTACTAATTGGATGAGGGTACTAACTCGTCGTAGCACCCCTTGACAGCAGGATACACGCGGTAGCCAGTCTCTTGCCAGAATCGTGGGTACTGGCACTCTTCCTTGTAGTTGTTGTTGATTTCAAAGTCGCGATACCTTCTTTCACCTTTCCATTGGACTTTATGTTCGTCCAAAGTGAAGGGTGTAGTTGTGTTCAGGTAACCCTCAAAGCCAATCAAGTCACCCATACTATCCAAACGTTAGCTCAAGAAACTGGCGGCCATTTGCCCCGGTGTAAACTTACGTAGCCACGGTACAATCCAGGACAACATACATATCCCGGGAATGGATCTCGGTGATAGCCATCCTCCATTCCTCAATATCTCCAAAGTGCTTATCCAGGAGAGTCAGATCAAGAGGAGAATAGCCATCGGCACCCCAGGGCATGTTAATAAACGGCGTTCCTGCAATATATATCCCCTAAAGTGACCATCTATTAGCAACCAAGGCAAAACTTGACCTCAAATGCCTATGCAAACCTTGATACCCATCCCCTGAAGATAATCCAAACTATCCATCAAACCCTTCACATCACCGCCATGCCGCATCTGATTCCCCATAACATCATGTTCGAACACCGTCCCGTTCGCATCGTCATTCCTCGGATCCCCATTGACAAACTTGTCCAAAAAGACTGTGTAGAACGGAAATCTCCAATTAGTGGGGGAGCCGTTGAAAGTGTGGTTCTGCCATTCGCCCCAGTAGTCCAGAGGGTTCACAGCCGTGACGTTTTCGTTCAGGTTATACCCTACCTCCTCCGGGAGGTGAACGAGTGCATGGGCAAACTGAGAAACGAAAGTGATTAAAGAAAAGATAGTGAGAAAAGCGAAGGCAGTACTAGAGCTGCTAGGAGCTGGGGAGCTCCGAGACAGCCGTGCCATAACGAAGGACAAAAAGGAGAGTGCAGACTCTGAAAGAGCACGAGTCTGATAGTGAGAGACTGTAGGGAACAGTATGTAGTACTGGTAATGGCTATAACAGTATGGGAGAAAAGATAGGTCTGAGGAACCTCACTCTATTATAAGATAACCGGTAGGTACTACCAACTATCGTCACATATGGCTAGATCCCCCCTGGTGGGCTAAAATTGCTATGGCGCTAGTGGCGTCCATGTTTGCAGTGCCCAGTAGACTTGACGTGGGTGTTGGGGGTGATATGCTGTCCTGGCCACCGGGCTCTGTGAGATTTCATGACCAACTCAGCCCAAAGTAGGCCCAAAGTAGGGTAGCCACATGGGTAGCCCAAGAAGGGATCGATTGGGTGCTACTAAATGCAGACCATCTCCAATGACCGGGGGGTATAAACCGGAGAATACGGTACTCTCATAGGAACTGTTGTACTAGTACTTCCTATCATAGTTCTGACAGACACCAGATGGAGGGGTCCTGTACAAAGGGCATGAAGTGAGGTACGGCTACGGGGCAGTGTCAACTATTGGATCCGGAAGTGGAACACCCGTATCCCACCACCGAAGCTAAGAGTCCTGATAACTACCCAGAGTTCACAGAGTTAGATGCAGTAAGTTATTCCACCCCTCAGGCCCTTGTCCCACCGCCGGTCAGACCTCCATGCATCCATGGCTCCTAAATATCAGCCAGTCCCCCCCCCCACTGAGTTACTACCTTCAGTAGGAAAGGGATTTCCACCGTACTCGTACTCGAGTACAAGTGCCATCTAATCCCCACTCAAAAATTATCTGCCTCCACTCTACCGCCCACACCCGCCACCCTGTTGGTGTTGACGCTACATTTCAAGGGGAATCCTCAGTACGAAGGCGGAGATTCCGGGAACAGTGCTGTTTTCGGATATCAAGCTTGACTAAGTCTCTAAATCATGGTCAACCAACCCCCCCAAATGCCGCAGACCCACAATAAAAGTTCTATGCCCTGCAAAACAAAAAAAAAACTCTCCTGAGAGTCGCAGCCTGATTAGTGTTCCTAAGGTGATCCCTATCGTTTTTCGCAGTAGTGCTTTCCTCCGACTTGGGACCGCCCGACTTGATGTCCGCCAAGCATCCCATATCACTCGACGCTGTCAAAAATTGCTCCTAAAACCCTATGCAAGTTAAAGGGAGGTCACCCCAAGAATGTAAATAAACCCAGCCTTCCCAGGTACCGTATGATAACTCCGAGTCAGGTGTGTAGCTAGTTATGATAAACACGGGATACTAGGGGTCGCGTTTAGCGCTGAAATGGCTGGCCTAGGTTGGGATCAAATGGTCGAGTCACAGGTTCCTACGACTAGCCACGTGGGAGTTGGGGGAAGGGAGGGCTGTGGTTCTGATGCCCTTTATAGAAGGGTGTTTCTGTTCCAAGGCCCGAATGAGTGTCCGTCTCGAGGCTTGTACCTCAAACAGACAGAGAGGAAAGCTCTGTAGATTATGCTCTGGGTTCATCTCCGCCGTTGGACAGGGCTACAACAGGGGAGGCCTAGGGAGGTTAAGTTATACTAATGGAGTTCTAGATAGCCCTGAGTCTCCCAGTAGGCTGTACTCGTACAGTGTCAAATTTTGCAACATAAAAGGGAGAGAAAAAAAAGGGTGGAACATTGGCCCTAGTGCTTCCGGTCGACTCTCTCTTTCCCCCTTCCCCAAAAACCTCGCCCCCTTCCGCCTACCTACTTGCCCCAGGCTAGAGGTGCAGTTCCAGAAAACAGGGATTATGGAAATATATGGTAAAAAAATCTGCTCGTATGTGAGCACCGATACTCGAAACACCGTCCCTATATTCATGTATCACACTTCCAGCCGGGAACGAGCACCCGCCACGAGAGCCTGGAGTCCCGCCTTTGATGGGGAGCCCGATTTCCGGCAAAGCGCTCTCTCAGAACTCAATTTCGAAAATTCGCTGATCACATCTCACATCCATTCCCAGATCCGTTCAGTGCACTTTTGCTGAAAACCATGTCGCTGGCATAAACCCACTACATTCCTGTTCTCCTCAGTCTCCCAATTCCGTACCAACTAAGCTGATGAGGTGCCCGTCATGCAAGAAAAATAATAATAACTGCACCCGAGCATCAAGGGCAAGCGCCGAAAGAAAAAGAGAAAAAAGAGAAATCAAAAAGACCCCTTTCCTGCTCCTGCTGCCAGTTCGTGTAACGCGAGCGTAAGGCTGCGGTCCCCGGGAGCGGGAGGATCAAATACGCTTGACGAATGAATCTACTTTTCGGAATAGCACAGGGATACGATAATAGTAATTCTCAATCCACCCATCAGCAATGGCGCCGCACAGTGTCTCGCTCGCCTACCCCCTTCACTTAAAATCCCCCTGGTTTCCGGCTGGATCTCCCTGACTCCAAAGTGACCCGCACGAGGTATCGCACAAAACCATATACGAGTAACAGCTGACCCGCGCCGCCGCCAGAAAAGGGAGGAGTGGAAAGAAAAATGCGACCGCCCGCCCCTTGCGCTTTCGGCAAGAGGTGGGGTTACACCATCCAATCGCACCACGGAAGAAAGTGCAAAATAAACTATTGCATCCTTGCCAAAAAAAATCCACATGTAGCAACAGCTAGCGGAGGGCTGTGCATGTTTGGCTCACGCGTGGGGCTACAGCACTCGTATGACTATTCACGAAAACCCGTGAGGAACCCGGTGGATTTGCACCTGCACGGCATTTGGGGTTGCAACTATTACCAGTGTGATACTCCGCCTGTTTTGTCAGGATAGGCGAGGAGAACTGAGGAAAGGGGTCCGTATTGTACTGTACTAGTACAAGTAGAGCGAGTAACGATAAGTAAGCACAGGCAGGGTAGCGGCGCGATGTCTGAAAACATACTAGTGCCTGTCCTAACTGTACAACTTGGGATTAACAACTAAGACCCTTTCCCGGTTCTAGAGTTTTAAGTATTTTTTTTTAAAAAAAAAATTGCTAATTAGGTAGGAGGTAAGTCCACTACACCTAAACTAAAACCTCCTCGGCATGTCCAGGTGTAACTCTCAATGCAGCTATCCAGTTCATCATCATGAATTTATAGCAGCTTTCATTAACGGCGGACGGTTGGCAAGTACAAGTGCAGAAAGATACCTCCGCGTTGTTCATGACAGTTATTTGTGGACGTTGGCCTTCACACCAGACACTAACAGCCTCGCATGACAGAACGACAGACAACAAAGTCTCTAACACGAGACCCTCCCTAACACTCCGAACGATATTCTATGCACGCGGTTTCATAAAACAAGTGTGCCACAGAAGAGCGTGATGTCCACCTCCAACCCATCAGAAAGTGAGATGTCCCAGGGAGGACAAAAATACAGTAGCCATACACAACCCCCTACCACATGTTCTTTCCCTTCTGCCGATGTTTCCAAGTTCAAACCTGGGGGCTACTCGACTTCTTATAACAACTACCTATTCCGTCGCAAATATGAATCTCTAGACATCACAGCGCGAATCTTATTGCAAGCACAGTCTCACTGTGGGCACAACATTGTAACACCCGCTAAAAAGCACCAATTTCGGCATCTAAAAAGGGGATACCATGCGAAAGGAATGGGGAGGTAAGGTACTCGAGTAAGGCAAATACGGTATCCGCCCATGGTTCAGAGGAAAGCCCGTTGCTCACGGTTCACCAATCCCTAGCGGCTCAGCATCTCGGTCTTGGGCGAGACCTGGCAGGGAAAATACGGGCAAGAGCCATAATATATCTAGGTATAAATCCCCCGAGCTACCATAAGGTATCCCACCAATTCCTGCTATCCAAGATATCTGTACTATACATAGAGTACCCGGAGTCACCCCACGCAAATTTTCTAGTAATCGTGCTCCTTGGCATAAAATATCCCTCGCCAAGAGATTCTCGCCGAGTTGCTCCCCCACGTCACGCGAAATTCGTCCAGTGACGGGGAAGGGGGGGGGGTAAGAATGGGTGGGGCCCGGCAGAGGCATGCTTCCATGTGATTATCACCCTCCAGTCACCAGCCCCTCTAAACCCTATCCTCCCTAGACTTGAGATCACGGCATATCACTCGTTTGGCTATTCCTTAACTTGACTGGCTATAATAGGAGCGTGAGCTGGATGGAAAGCTACGGAGCCACATCTCGTGTTCCAATTTATTACAAGTCTTATTTCGTTGTCATGCTGTTGATATATAAGACACAAAAAGATGCACCATGCATACCAGGTGCGCATCCACCGCAGCAGGTACGGTCCAGTGCAGATGTCACTGGACCTCAGCTGGCAGATATAGATTTTCACTTGCGATCCAAGTGCGATATGAAAGCATGTATCATACAAGAATACGTTGTGATCATTATCATAGGGCCACTTGCCGTGAAGGGAAAAGCGCATGTCCTTCAGCCTCCATACAGTAGTCACCATATCATACGTCACGCTGCCCACTACCCGTATATAGACTGCCAACATCCGCGACTTTGCGAAGCACCGTACGTGGCATACTTGACCCTGAAAAGGCACGGTACTCATCGGAAAAACTCTAAAATTCTTTGTGTTTTACTATGATTCGACTCATATAGTAGCAAGGCTATGCAATCCACGAGGCCGGGCACTGTCTCCGCACGGGACCGGAACCTAGTGTCGTTAAAACTCGAATGCGGTAATCGGAACATGTGCTGTGTAGTCGAGAATTACCAACTCTGGAATAGGGGCTAGATAGCAAAAGGTGAGCCGCTCAGCCCCCTCCGAGGGGCGTGGGAAAAAACAAAATAAGCGCCGAACCTTACCAGAGGAGGCAGCTCCAACGGCATGGCACGCGGGCCGATCTTTCGGGTTCCTGCGGAACATGGCTTCTACCGTAGTACCCGTACGGTACTCGTACAGCACCGTACGGTACTAGTACTGTTCACCTGCGGAACCTTCCGACACAGAGCAACCAACATCCACATCACAGTGTCTCACTCCGCTACTAAAAATACCCACT